CTCCATCGTGGCACTGCTCCGGAGGCGTGGAGCAGAAGTGCGGTGGTTTTGTTGTTCAAGAAAGGCGACAACGCTCTCTTGAAGAACTACAGACCGATTTCCCTTCTGAGCCGCGTCTACGTGCTGTTTTCGAGAGTCATTACGAATCGACTAGCATGCAGACTCGACGACTTCCAGCCTCCCGAACAAGCCGCTTTCCGAAAAGGCTTTAGTACCATAAACTAAATACTACTACATACACACCCTTCGGCAGATTGTACAGAAGACAGAAGAGTACAATTTACCACTTTGCCCTGCGTATGTGGACTATGAGAAAGCCTTTGATTCCGTCGAAATTTGGGCGGTGTTACAGTTCTTGTGCACAGCCATGCTACTGCTATGTAATGGTTGTAACACGAATGGGTCGGCTCTACCGAGGTGGGACCACGCTCTCACTACAGAGAGGTGTAATACAGGGTAAAGTTATATTCCCGAAACTCTTCACCGCTGAATTAGAAGATGTTTTCAAGCTACTGGACTGGAAAGGATACGGAATACCGTACACACAACATCAATGGCGAGTACATCACTCACCTTCGATTTGCCGACGATATAATCCTTATTGCAGAATCGGTGGAGGATCTAAGCACTATGCTCAATGACCGCAATAGTGCCTACCAACAGATAGGTCTTAAGATGATCATAGAAAAAACATATGTAATATGTAACGTCCATGTCACACTTATGCCGGTAGTTGTTGGGAGCACTGAGCTTGACGTTGTTAACGAGTATGTTTACCCGGAACAAATTCTAACTAGGCTAGTCCAACTTCGACTGAGAGGTCAATCGACGGATTCAACTCGGCTGGGCAGCGTTAGGGAAATTACAATTCATCTCGGCTGGACAGCGTTAGGGAAATTACGACACATCTTTTCGTCAGGTATGCCTCAAAACTTGAAAACGAGATTGTGCGAGTGCGTGTTACCAGTAATCACTTATGGATCTGAGACATGGTCTTTCACTGCTGGCCGCATGAGAAAACTCAAGGTCGCTAAACGAGCTATGGAGAGGGCTATGCTCGGAGTTTGTCTGCGTGATAAACTTAGAAATAAGGATATACGCAGTAGAACCAGAGTGACCGACATGGCCCAACGGATTAGTAAGCTGAAGTCGCAATAGGCCGGTCATATAGCTCGAAGAACCGACAACCGATGGGGAAAAAAGATTCTCGACTGAAGGCCTCATACCAGTAGGCAAAGTGTAGGACGACCCTCATACCAGTAGGCAAAGTGGAGTGACGGCCTGGTAAGACATGCAAGAAGTCAATGGATGTAGGTGGCTCAGGACCGTGCTTTGTGGTATTCCTTGGGGGAGGCCTATATTCAGCAGTGGACTTGTGAAGGGCTCTAATGATGATGATGAAATAACGACTAATTCATAATGTAGTTTTTTAATCTGTGAGCCGAAAATCGAATGCTTTTCACAAAGAAAAGAAAATTGGTCATAATAAAAAATATGGAACTCTAGAGGAAGCCCAACACACATTTGGCCGCTATCAATCTTTAAATCAATAAGTTGACTTCAAAATCCTTGGTAAAGCCCATTATTATTATTATTATTATTATTATTTTAATAGAGATCCGCCCCGGCTTCGTCTGAAAATGTGAAGTTATTTATAGTCTTGTGTAGTTTGCGAATGATGAACAATTAGGAAACGTATCTTGCCACTGTACTAGAAGAAACGTATCCGAATGCCGATTGTTAATCGGTCTAACAGTTCTTTTCGTTCACCTACACTCGCAAGACGCCAACGCCAAACCGTGCGTGCGAGCCATAGCAAAGAACGACGCACGCAAACAGATCGACCCAGAATCGGTCAGTAGTCATTCAAGGTAGACATGGCATTAAATAAAATATTGGATATAAGGTTAATTTTATAGCACATAATTATTACAATGCTTATTTTTAGACATGTGAAGCCACAATTTTAATGTGATATATCAAAAGAATACATGTATTGACGAAGACATTTTGTCAAACGAAAGTTAATTGATACTCAAGATGGCACGTAAAGAAGACACTAGATGGCATAATATAAAATTATAAATCACTAAGGTAAGAAATCGATCGCAGATTGTTTTGAATGTACTGAAATGCGATAATTTTATTAATTATGGTTAATTTTATTTATTTAATAAATTTGTTATTTTTGTAACTGATTATTTGAACAGTTAAAAAGTGTAGTTAGCTGTAGCTAGCTACCCAAATCATCTAGTAAAGCTGAACGCACATTTATCCGCGCCGCATGCGCCGTACGCGCCTTACGCGCCGAATTTTAGAATTCGTTGTATGAAACCATATGAATGAAACCTCGTACATTACAGCCGCACCGTACGCGCCGAATTTTATAAAATGCGGGAGGCATACGATATCGATGGACGAATGCTGATGACGTCATATAACGCGGCGCGTTTGGCGCGTGTTGATTACTCAGTGTTGTCTAATGTTGCCAACTTAGTGGATTTTCCACTAAAACTGGTGGTTTCGACTTTTGTTTCGAATTATATTTTTTAAGTGTTAAATATACACTGCGGTTAGAGGTTGGCAGAAAAATGCTGCAACGAAATTGAAATTTCGATAAACGTTGTGAAATGAATACTTAGTGATAAATTATGTAAATACATAAAAAAAATTGATAGTGAATTTTAATTCAAAAACCCAATTATACCTGATTACTTAATTATCAATAAAATACTTACCTCGAACATACAACAAGTCTTTCCTCTAGTTCAATTGGCCTTCTAAATCTTGAGTTTTCCATAGAAAGATATGGTTTTAATATATGTAACAATTCTTGAAATTTCTTATATGTTAAATGCAAATATCTAAAAAATCGTTTATCATCATATAACAAGTCTTTAAATAAAGTATAATACACTCCATACAACCTTTTTCCATACAGCCTTTTTAAATTAATACTATGAATCCAGAATCTTCTTTTTCTTCGAATTTCGTTTTCTTCTTCCACTGCCAATAACCAGGCTATTACAATATTTTTTCTATAGTGAGTCCGAGCGATAATGTCTTCAATCTAATCTATCTAATGTACCGTTTCACACCAGTGGTTGGAAAAAACTGGAAGAGTTGTTGGCAATCCAAAAATTTGCGGACGGCGCGGACGGTACGTACGTTCTAGTTTGCGAGTTTCAGTAAAATTCGGCGCGTACAGCGCGTACGGCGCGGACAAATGTGCGTTCACCTTAAGTTTACAACAAATGCCTGCTCTCTGCTTAGCCTTTTACCATAATACGCAGTGGCCAATAAATTAATGTAGGTGTAGATAAATATTTTATTGCAATACATAAAAATGGTATAATATTATCTTTATGCTATTGACTAGAATGACAGTCCTAAGCCTGTCCAAGTATGAAGGGAAATCAAATATTATGTCAAATTTTTTCGCCCGACTGAGAGTGACTGCATTAACCTGTTTAAATTGCATCTATCAGTCTGACTGTTGACTGATTCAGTCAGTGACTGACTGAGATAACCATTCCATAAAGACAGATACAATTTAAACAGGTTAGTAGTACTGATGACCGAATTGAACTAATAGAACGAACTAGTTCACGTAATGTACTAGTACGAAACGGTCTTTAAAATGACCGACCAGGCACAAGACTAGTTATTTAGATTTAAGATCATCATCAAAAAGCATTTATTTTGTCAATTTTTTAAAGAAAGTCCAGTTTTTCGGATAATATAGATATATCGTATATGTTTGTCAAGTGTCATCAAGTTTCAATCGGTACATCCATTCCGAAGAATAGCCCGGACAAACAAACACAGGCAGAAAGACAGACAGACAAAAAATAGAAAATGGTTATTCACATCTTGGCATGCAAATAACCTCATCAATTCAAAAAAGACAGTTAATTCGATATTACAGACATATTCATCTGTATTTTGATTCGTAATCGAGGATTGATGTATATGTCTATGGGCCACAGCAACCACTTACAATCTGGTGGACTGTGTGCTCTTTTGTTACCCTTATACCCTATAAAAAATACATTGTATAATAAATCATAATTCTTTCAAATCAAAGTTCCCGACCGTGGCAGGGGTAGCGAACTTTCAACTTTTCACGAGTTTCCGCCCCATTACGTGGAAGTGCAGTTACCTTTCAGGCGTACCTATACGGAACAACTGTAACTGAGTTTACCTAAAGCGCTCATTATATGAACAGATAATATTAATAAAAAAGAATATTACCTTACAGTTATTAAAATATAGAAACAGTATAACTCAAAAAAAAAATTAAATAGTTATGTTTTTCTACAAATTAAAACTAATTGTTTTGAAAGGAAATGTAGGTAACATAAAACGAAAATAAGACTTTATGTAATGTGATGATGCGACTCTTATATGTAAAGATTTTTAATTTTTTTTTAAGTAATTATATTTATTGACAATGGTAAATAAATCCGTAAACCTCGGTCTCTCTGCGGGAGAACATATCTCATCTGATACAAGCAGAGGTGAGTAAATTTTTCTTATAAAAAAAACTATAAACGATATTAATATATCCCATGCCTTAAAGCCTTATTAATTCCTTCTGCGCTTAATTGAACAACAAAATTTGTTGTATGAAGGTATTCCCCGAACAAAAGCCGATATAATAACCGGAAAAGCTATTTCCACTAATACCAAACTCGCTGATGACGTCACCAATCACCCGATAAGCTTTTGATTGAGCGTGACATGAGTAAAGCATTCGTCTCCTAATATCCATAACTTTGGGGCCTGGCACGACAACCCCAGTCTGTTTCGAAGCGTCATGCAACCCGCTTGCTTTACACGGCACAAGCTACCAAATTTTTGATCGTATCAGTGTGTAAGCCCGCAGCCATGGAGACAATACCCGTAAATAAAACAAAGACTTACGATAATAATGATAGCGACGTATCAACATCGATTTAACTTTATTAATTTTAGTCTAGAAATCGTTTAAATTTAAAATGTTATGGTGGAAACAATTGGAAAGCGCACAAGAAAACGTAATGATGATTGAACAAGAAGAACAAAGAAAATATTATACAAATAACACGACAATAACCCTTTCGCATCCTACTAGAGACCCGGTGTTGCAAGATAATCTTCTTATTGCTAATCTAGAACAAGTAAAGACTTTACAGGCGTCTCTCTTTCCCATATGCAACAAAGGTAAAGTAAGAGTAAGCTTGTAAAGTTTTCATAACTAAGTAGGAAATTAAAAACCTATGAAAAAAATCTTTTTATTTTTCCATTCTACAGATATTTGTATTTTAGATAAATTCCACAGCAAATAAGAACTCACTATATTCCCTCACGTGACATTTAGCAATTACATTTTTAAATAAAAGTCAATAAAATATTATTATAAAATGATAACAATAAAAATGCAGCTTTCGTTTTCAGGGACATTAATATCGAGCTTTCTTCAGAACAACATTAAGACAAATCAGTTAGAGATAAACACGGATGTTAAAACTTTCCGTACCACCGCCAAATTAAAAGAGCCTAGGGATTTATTCGCTTTACCCAAAGAACTAGACTGCCCACAGCAAGCACCACGGTGGCCGTCAGAATGCCAAGTGAGATGAATTATTAATATATTGCCTTTTAAGTGAAACACAGTGGGTAGTTTGGCATTTTTCTTTTACGAGACGCAGAATGGGAAAGTATGGAAAAGTTTGAAACCGTTGGAGATACAATCAAACTGCTGCAAAGTTTATTAGTATTTTATTTTAAAAATTGTATACATCAATTTTATTGCGTGAGGTTTTTCAGGACTTTAAGAGCGGCCTATGTCCAATAGTGCAGTGTTTACGAACTGTTTAACGAGACCTTATACCGTGTAAAATAATGTTTAATTTAATAGGCACTAAAAACACTTCCTTCATCCTTTACCGAGCCGTAAGTCTACCACCGAGCATGGAGAATTTTCCGTAATAGTCACGTCTGCCGACGGATTGACGATGGCAGTGCTTGACGTCTCGCTACTTTGACAGTGCTGACCGTCCCTGGTCTCGGTATTTACGCCTAGTGTTAAGATATAGATATACCGTCATCTATCAGAAGCCATCAAATATTTATTGTATTTTTCATAGTCACCTCCATCTCCGTCCATATTCTCCGTTAAATTTGTCATAAGTGAATAAGTTACAAGCTGTTGAAGAATTATAACTGACTGATGTTTTGCTATCATTTATTTGATATCCATCTTATGCATTCTTAAAATTAAATTGCGCTATTATATGAGGTTGAAAGGTTTATTTTTTATCCTCGCCATACTTATTTTTTTTATTTTTACAAGATACTAAATACAATGAAAAATAATTTAAAAAAATAGGTAGTGGAGGAAAGGATACAGCACATAACCTGGAGTCCTGCAAGCCCAGAGCCATACTATATTCCTACAGGGAAAGAATTGCGACCACAACCAGTCGGAGAAGATGCAGGAACTGTGATTTTTCAGTATTACCCAATGAGTGCAGTTAATTATGTAAGTTTTGATTTGTTTTCTGTACACCTTTTTTATAAAATTATTCCAAACTTTTTAGTAATATTATATTTTACAAAAACCTATCACGCTGTTCACCTAATTGTATATGGTTATTGTTTTGGGAAAATACATCTATGTTTGATAGAGAATTTAAATATTATGTTAATGTTATTACTGCTAGATATTAAGATGAAATAAAATTCGTATTATACGTTTATTCCTAAGCGAAGGTAATATTTAAGATCGTCAATACTAATAAATAACAAATCAAACATTTTTTTAATAGAAAAGTGTGACAAATGAGCACACAGTCCACCTGATGGTAAGTGGATACTGGGGCCCATAGACGTCTACATCAATCCTCGATTACGAATCAAAATACAGATGCGTTGTCACCCGTGAGGACTAGACGGAATGCCTTGTTTCCAGTAAAAAGAGTCTCCAGTTCCCTACACTCACCATACGAAACAGCAGCAATAAGCTGCTATTTTACGCTGGTATTCTGTGAGAGCGTGGTCCTAAACCGGTCGATCCGACTATTCGTACTACAACTAATATAGCTTACAATGTTGGTATAAAAGCTACGTAGGTATACAATTATATTCGATTGAAAATCAAAATGCAGATGCGTTGTTATCCCTCAGGACTTAGATGGAATTCCTCGTTTCCAGTAAAAAGGGTCTCCGGTTCTCTACGCTCACCATACGAAACACAGCAGCATTAAGCTGCTATTTTACGCTGGTATTCTATGAGAGTCGTCGTGAAGAGAGGTCGTGGACACATCAAGTAGTTATAATAGGACGGTAGGATGGTAATACAGACTGACGCTATGAAAATTAAATACAGGGTTATTTTTCAAACTGTAGCCAAATTTAAACTTAAGTTTAAATATATAAATAATGACACACCGTTATTGATTGTTATAATTTGAAATTATCCCAAATTGAATGTGAATATGGGCAACAACGTTTTTGTCTACCGATCGACCCTTACGAATGTGTGCGTGCGTAGTAAAATCAGTTAAAATTATTAAGTATGTTTAAAATTATTATATACATGCACTTTGAATTTAAAAGATGAAAGTACAGAATTATTGGCCGGTTATATAACTCTGTATATATAAAATTTAAGTGTCTGTCTTTTATATTGGAATAACTACCTTTAAGCGATCTCAGGAGGTTATTTGTATTTGATACTTGTTTTTAGTGGGTAACTACGAGTTTTTAACGCGTTTTCTTTGAAATTGAGAGAAAGTGACTTTTTTTATGAAGAGATTACAAACCTTTTGTACTATTTTTTGTTGTTATAAAAAAATCATTTATATATGTAGCTACAGCTAAATCACCCTGGAAACCTTGGTTTTTATTAAATTAAATTTTCACCTAATAATAACATTTGTAAATATCAAACAATGAAGAACCTTAATTTCTTAATTTGAAAAAAAAATAAGGTGTATCATTCATTGATATTATCAAATGTTAAATATTATTTAATGTTATACAAATGTAAATGTAAAGTCGATCTGAAAATGTAAGAATAACAACTAATTAGTAAGAATAGCAAAACAAGTGTTTTCAAAAGGAAAAAAACGCCGGCGCTATACGGCGGCGGATTGACAAAAGACTATTTAGTAGCGAACTTTTTTAATGCATGTACGGTTTCGAACTGTTTCAAGCAAAAATAAACCTTATACCATATCACAAGAGCACATGGTACTTCGTAGGTCTATTCGGCCATAATATGATAGTAATAAGACGGCAGTTCAACCATTTTAAGCAAAATTAAACAATAAAACAAACGCATTGTTTTTTTTTTAACAGAAGACTTGTTTTCGAGAAATTTATTTACAACTTGAGTTTGTGAGCGATCGCATTGAGTGGTATTATTTGTTACTTATTAGACAATTTTTCCATAACATGATTTAAAACCCACAAAGTAAAAATAGTACCATGTAAAAATTTCAAATTTTCAAAATATCCAGAAACGAAGCTGCATGCATGAACTACTCGCAAAATAATGAATATTTTGTTCTGGATAAATTTTCCAAAAAAGCAATTTGAGCGAGTTATAACGATTTTTAAAAAGACACGACTCACGTGTCATACGCCACACACAAAAGTGATCGATGACACGTCTGGCGTGTCACCCGCACTGAACCGGTTAAACCATCGCTACATGCTTACTGCCAAATCGTACTACAAACTCTCTTTATCACCACCAGAGATCTCTTTTTATATTGGGTAACGTCCCTAAGCAAGAACATAGAAGAGTTTGCTTAAAGCTGTTGCAACCATGATTTCGAACATTTATTAAAAGTTATACACATCATTTCCATTGCGTTTTTTTAAACCTGTTGGTTTTTCTTTTTACGAGAAATACTCCTCACTCCTAATGTACACGGCGGGCCTCTACTCTCCTTAGCCTTCATTATTAATAATGATTATTCACTCGTTATAACTTCGAAAAAGTGCTTGGCTCAACATTATGTCCCAATATATTGCTCAGAATGTTTGCATGTTTTTAATTGTTGTTTTTTTTTTTCATTTCAGTTTAGTCGGTCTACAGTGGGAGGGTCCAGAATGTTTATATCTGCTTGCACCAGTGCCAGCGGTGACGATGAATTACGGTTTGAATCTAGATTTGAAAGCGGTAACCTCGCAAAAGCTATACGTATAACTTCCGCCTATTACGAGTTACATCTTCGGACTGATCTTTACACGAACAGGCATATGCAGTGGTTCTACTTTCGAGTGACAAATACTAAGAAGCAAATGATGTATAGGTTCGTAATTTTTACGTAATATTTATTAACATACCCTATATACATCATTTGATCCATGTTATAATCCTAGGCGCAGTAATGCAAATTATAATCGAATTAACTATTTATTTGTATGTGAAATGTCTATGAGAATGTACAAAAGTTAAAAGTTACAGTCTATATTCCTCCCACTGTTGGGCATAGGCCTCCTTTCATTTCTGAGAGAGTTTTAGGATAAGGCAGGACTGCATAAATTACCGCGGTATAAGCCTTCTCAGCGTCGTCGGTAAATTGTATGCGAAAGTGTTGATTGAAAGGGTTGTGAATAAAACAGGCGAAAAAGTATGGGATGCACAAGCGGGATTTAGAAAGGGAATGGGATATACGGATCAGGTCTTTTCCTTGTGGTGCATAGCCGAAAAGTGTTTGGCTAAAAAAAGAAGGTCTATTGTTTGTTCGTGGATCTAGAAAAGGCCTATGATAGAGTGGTGAGGAATGAATTGTGGTCAGCACTGTCCGTGAACGGTGTGAGCAGTATCCTCATACGAGCATTGCAATCTCTTTATAGGGATTCTAGTGCTTGTGTAAGGATAAACGGGGCATACACTGAATGGTTTAATATCGAAAAAGGTGTTAGACAGGGATGTATAGCGTCACCGTGGCTGTTTAATCTGTTCATGGACAATTGCTTGACAGATTTAAAAGAGAATGAAAGGGAGTTGAGAATGAATGAGTTACTCGTCAAATGTTTTCTCGATGCTGCTGACCAAGTACTACTTGCGTCTTCGGCCGAAGAGTTGCAGGAGGTGGCTACTGCTATGAGTGGAGCTTTTGTTAGAAAGGGAATGAAGATGAATGTAAAGAAGACGAAAGTGATGGTGTTTGAAAGAGATGAGGCAGTGACAGACTGTAATATCGTGATTGGATATGAACAAATTGAACAGGTAAAGGAGTTTGTGTATCTGGGTTCAAAGTTTACGAGAGATGGAAAGTGTGAGAGTATGCGCCCACAATTACCAAACAGTTTTAATCGTAAAATAAAAAGTTTTAATCGATATGAAATCGTCACAATCACACACGATTAAACATTATGATCGATTTAACAAATATATATGCGGTAGGTCTAAATCAACAACACATGTGCCGAAAATATCAAAATGGACTATATATTGGAATTTTTGTCATATTCAATTAAGAGTCAATATCGACTAATGATCAGACACTAGATGGAAGGGCTTCTTTTTTGTCTAGAAATTAGTCTTAGGCAAATTACACACTCTTACTTATTTCTGCCTGAGCATGCACTGTCGTGTTCCGTTTTGTTTGTCGTAGAGGCATGGCTATGAGGTTTTATACCGTAATCCTCAAAGCTCAAAGGTGTCTCCTTTTTAGTAGATGGTGTTCATGAGCTGCAGTGGACATTTACTATCAGGTAAACTGTGAGTTCGTTTTTCACTTTAGTGTTATAAAAACTCTTTTATGTTGAACTTAATAATACCTACAGGATATTTCAAATTTTTGCTTCACCATAGTAAATATCATAATGTCCTTGAAGATTTTAATTACATTATAATTGCAATTTATTACAGGTTCTCTATAGTTAATTTATCAAAAGCTGAAAGTCTGTACAACGAAGGTATGCGTCCTTTGTTGTACTCGACGAAGGATGCACAGTTACATTCAATTGGATGGAGGCGATGCGGCGACAATATAGCGTATTATAAGAATGATTCCACGTAAGAAATTATTAAAATTTATAACAACTTTAACTGATACTAATGTTTAACGATGAAATAACAGTATATCATGCCGTTTATTGTTAAAGATGTGAAGAAGAAGAACAATTTCCAAGTTACACACTAACATTTAATATTGAGTTTCCGCACACGGACGATGCCGTCTACATAGCACATTGCTATCCATACACTTACTCGGATCTACAAGAGTACCTGTCAAAATTGCAAGCTCATCCTGTCAAGTCGACTTATTCAAAATTAAGACTGCTTTGCCGGACCCTAGCTGGAAATAACGTGTATTACCTAACAATTACCGCTCCACAAAATTGTAATGAAACGGAGCAAAAAGTAAGCGATAAAGTTTTTTTTTTAATATTTTTTTTAAATATAAGAGGATGCAAACCAGCATATGGCTTATCTGATGGTAGGGGTTTACCATCGCCCATGAACATCTGCATCACCAGAAAGTGCATGTGCGTTGCCGGCCTTTTAAAAAGGAGGTCCGGGAAAATAGCTGGCGACAGTAAATTCCACAACGTAGTCGTGCGTGGCAGTAAATTACTTGTAAAACGCACGGTAATGAACTGCCAATTATCGGATTGTGGATGGAGTTTCAAGTGCTGTCGCAGTGTATAGTGATGGAATTTAGGAGCTGGGGTTAATCCGAGCAATTACTCTGAGCACTTTTCGTGTAATATGCGATGAAGATGCACAGATATGCAAGGCCTCGTCGCAAGGCCAGTGGATCAAACCAGTCGAAAAGAACTTAGTTGTAGACTATTTGAATTTCTTTCCGTTAATTACGGGCAAGTGTAAGAAACTGGTATTGGGGTGTCCTGGCTCCCGGCCCATGGATGAGAAAAGTATTCCATATGAAGCCAAACCACTAGGCGCGCTTTGTAAAATTGCAAGCGATGCGCTTTGGCATCCGGCGCGAAAAACCGTATGGATCTACGGAGCACGCCAAGCTCTTTAGAGGCTAGTTAAGCCTTCCCTCTCAAGTGACTGTGGAAATGTTCGTCGCTCTATATGTCGACGTAGAGGATCCAACGCTGACTGAGGCAACAAGGGCCTGAAATAAAGGAAATACGACAGAGGAGTTCTTGTTAGCGGTAAACACTCACCTTTGTTTTCTGAGGATTAAACTGGACTAGATTTAATTACCTTAATCCGAGAGAGAAAACTCTACTTCAGACACAAGTATGTCAAGGTTGAACGACGACTGGTTCACGAGAGATGTTAACAAAACTAGTATAAAAAGTAAAACATCAATATGCTATACAAATAAGAATAGAAATGACCTTACACCATATTGTAACGTATTAACTGTCAATTTAAACAAGTTAGGTAGGGTGAGCAAAACAGATATTTTTGAAATAATATTTATTTATAAAAGAACCATGAACGAAAAAAGTTTTAATCTGAATCGAGCACTTTAATTCCGATTAACTTTGGATCACTGTCTGAGTAGTCATAATCGTCCCGATCATCATAACTGCTGCTTACTCTTAAAAATAGAACGTGGATTTATGCAGGTGTTTAAAATTTCCAACGAGGTAATTTTAAAGAAAAATAGGCATTTTATTACCTGTCGTCTTCATAATAAAATTTAACTTATCATCGTCTTCAAATATCTCCATTTGCCAGTAGTCGTCATTTTCGTATTGTTTGACGTTTATTTCTTTCTTATTATCTTGTAGTTTAAGCAACTTTTTTTTAGTGTTAGGCTCTCAGTTTGGCTTTTTGACTGTACAACTTTTAGAAAACTAATTAAGACTTCAAAAGATTTGGTAACATTGTAAACAATTTACTAAGACTAAGTAAAATAAAGTGAAAAAAAAAAACGTTATTAATGCGCAATTTATTTCTTTACAAACCGTACATTTTAATTGACATTGAGGTCTAATAATCTTCCGCTCAGCAGATGTCGCTAGTTGACACTGAGGTTAAGTTTTTTGTAGCACAATTTCATTTAATTGAGAACTTAGTTTTAAATAGAAATTTTTCAGTTTCTAGAGTACTTATTATATTAATACACAAAACAATGCTTCAATGGTTTGCTCCATGATTTTCGCACATTTTTGAGTCTTTTTATTTTTCTACTTTTATGAATATCAATGGTTTGGTTTATTTATTCTTAATCCAATTAATATAAAATATAACTAATATACTAAAAGAAACATTAAGCCATTCCATATTTCGAACAAATTAACTACCCCGCTATAAAATCTGTCAAATATTACAACCTTATTTTAAGTGGTGCCGCCCAGGTGGCAGAAAAAGTTGTGGATGCCTTCATTAACAAATCGAGGACATTGACGTTCCTATTCTTAAATGAATCGTGTTGTACTGTCGTCTGTATAACGAGGAATGTTAATAAAATATCATTGATGTGTACAACAAATAGGGTAGGCGATAGCACGTACCCTCGTGGAACACCAGCATTAACAGGCTTGGAGTAAGATATATACACCAAGAACTACGACCTTGAAGCTTCGATCTGCGAGAAAAATAGTGGTCTATTTGCATACTTACTTTTGTGCCAAACGCGAACGAAGGCCTTCGCTATGCGCAAACTAACCGCCAAGTATTCTCATTTGGTCTCGACTGCATTTGCTCATCGGTGTGTCGGGAGGGGGAGTCAGATCACCAGCTAAGCCACCACGACAGAAGCCATAGTGGCGGTCACTAATCAAGTGATGATCCTCAAGGTCCTCCTGAGCTGGCAGTTATCAATGCACTCCATTATTCAGGAGATTAAGGAGGCAATGGCGACAGGCATATAGTTAGACTGTACTGAAGTTGGTCTGAACGTTCGCCTTATTTAGGAATCGGGTGCACTAAGGTGTCTTTATTTGGAAAATTAATTCCATCCACCCACTCAACTGGACGTCCAGTCCTTAAAGTACTGAGCTTTACCAAAACCGAAAGACCTACACGGAGCATTCACTCTGCGAAATGGTCGTCGATATGTTCCCCCCTGTCGTCGAGGATCGAGTTGGACGCAAAAAGAGAACCTAAACCTATATTCTTTGTGGCGTGGGCCAACAGTCACTCCCAGCCAGAGAGAACAATTACGTCTCAGTGATAAAGAGCAAGGCCGGCTTCGCCGTCACAAAATGGTGATGGACGACGTAAGGTATGCAGAATACAAAAGCTAGTGTGGGAGGAGGTACCTTAGTGTCATTTTACTGGGTTAGCCTTGAGTAATATTGCGTACATTGAGAGCTAAATTTAAATTTGATGTACCATTAGGTACATTTGATATTTTCACCGGAGCCGAACGAAGCACTTATAATTTTTTGTCTGCATTTTACTTATTTCAATTGATTGTTTCGTTAACTTTGGCAGAAAAAGAGAGCAGTCATCATAACAGCCAGAGTGCATCCCGGCGAAACACCGTCGTCATGGATGATGAAGGGCTTCATCGATTATTTGACGGGGGATACAAATCAAGCGCGCGAATTGAGAGAGAAATTTATATTTAAACTAGTTCCAATGTTAAATCCGGATGGTGTGAGTGACGTGATGGTCTAAATATTTTCCATAAAAATTATTATTCGGAAAGTGTTATTATTACTATTATTGTAGGTAATTGTGGGCAACAATCGATGTTCGTTGACCGGAAAGGATCTAAATAGACAGTACCGGACGGTGATAAGAGAAACCTACCCACCAGTATGGCACACCAAAGTAATGATACGAAGGTACGCATTTTTATATAGTTAACGAACTCTGCCTGTGACTTTATTAGCTTTAAATGTAGAATTTGTGAAAATCGAGAAACACTTATCATGAGGTTATATAGTACAATGCATTGATTGTACAATGAGATCAAATTTATTAAAACAAAAAAAATCATAGGGCATGCTTTAGCTATTTTAAGCTATTTAATTTTTTTTGTTCCTATTAATAAAATGTTCCATTTTCAATATTAAAAAAATGACAATAAATATGACATCATGAGATGTGCCTAGCCCAAGGAATTTATATACTACTAATGTAGAACTGGAATGTATACTCAGTACCTATCACATATTACTTAACCCTTTTTATATATCAAATTTATTAATTATGTCCATATACACTTGCGATCCAATCTCGTATGGGACTGACTCCATTTCCAAAACAATTAATGTACCAAAATGCTCATTTCGAGGATCTTCTGGTCTTTGATTAAATAATCTTGAAGCGGGCAAACTTATATCTGTGAAGTCATCTTTTTCCGATTTCACATAGCATATGTAATGATTTTCGGTTTGCGTTGATCTACCATTTTTGGAAATTTTTCTTTTTATTTTCTTTTTCGGTCAAACAGATGGAAAAATAGATGGCGATAACGACGGCGATTCATCACTTTTTGACATGATGATTCTACTCCATATACTAGAAGATTATTTATGTTCCTGTAGAAATGTATAAATTAACGCCATGTTTGGTAACGAACTGATGATAGTTTGATGATAAAACCAGAATCTCTAACAACTTATAAACCACCTAATCCACGTTAAGGCTAGGCTATCGTTTCATCAAAATGCCGACAAAAAGAAATTAAATCAGATTTTGATAAGTTTTAACATATTAAAAGTAAAAAAGGCAAATGAAAAATGTTAAAAAGAAAAAGCAAAGAACATAATATTTAGATATATTTTCCATAATTTATAGGTATGTTGACTTTTGCGTACTAATAAATTTAAGTCTGAAATATTAACTTAATTAGACTGCAGGAAGAATGTGGGGTAGCGATGTATGTAGACTTACACGCGCATTCTCGGAAACACAATATTTTCATATACGGTTGTGAAAGCCGCAGAAATTCGGATAAACGCTTACAAGAGCAAGTATTTCCTTTGATGTTACATAAAAATGCCGCTGATAAGGTAAACAATATTCTGTTTTTAAACACAAGTTGGTTACTGAAATCATATTCGTAAAATAAAGGCTAAATTTTTCATTTTAGTTTTCTTTCGAACATTGTAAATTTCGAATACAACGCAGCAAAGAGGGGACTGGTAGAGTTGTTGTTTGGATGTTAGGAGTCTGCAATAGCTACACCATGGAAGCATCATTTGGAGGAACGGAGTTAGGAAGCAGAATGTCAACGCATTTTTCAGTACAAGACTATGAAAATCTTGGGCGAACGTTCTGTGAAACTTTATTGGACTTTTATGATGAAGATCCAAGTAAAGAAAAACTGAGAAACAAAATCGTTACAAGATTACTGAAAGAAGGCTCTAATGCGGACGAACCAACAAATATTGATCTATCAGATTATTCCAGGTTTGAGTAATATCTATCACGCCAAATTTTTATTTAATATAGAAAATTCTTTGAATAAAACTAAATGAATAATTAAAAGCTGAAGGTAGCTCGGACGTCAAGCACGTCAGACCTCCCGTGGCTATGTTATAAGTCACTCAAAGTGGAATATAAATAAGTTTATTGTTTTTATAGCAGAGAGGGCAAATGAGCATGCGGCTCACCTGATGGTAAGTGACTACCGCCGCCCATGAACAACTGCAACACCAGGGGGCCTTTTAAAAAAAAGTAGGCTCTCTTTTCTTGAAGGTCCCTAAGTTGTATCGGTCCGGAAAAATCGCAGATGGTAATCGATTCCACAAGGAAGTTGTGCAAGGAAGAAAACATTTTCTAAATCGCACAGTGGTGGACCGTCAATCATCCAGATGCTGTGGATGGTATCGGGAGTTCTGCCGCGATGTGCGTTCGTGAAATTTGGCGGCTGGAATTAATCCGAACAATTTCTCAGAGCACTCCCCGTGGTAAATACGAAAGAAAATGCAAAGGGATGCAACACCTCTTTGCAGCGCCAATGAATCGAGCCGATCGGAAAGGACTCGATAGCCGACGATTCGAGTCGCTCTACACTGGATGCGGTCAAGTGGAAGGAGCTGGCACTGGGGTTCCCCGGCCCAGAGATGGGAACAGTATTCCATGTGAGGCCGAACCCGCGCCTTGTAAAGTTACAGGCGTTGTGCCGGCATGAAATACTGTCCCGCTCTGCTGAGCACACCAAGCTTTTTAGAGGCCAATTTGGCCTTCTATTCCAAGTGACCACGAAACTGCACGTCACTCGATATGTCGACGCCGAGGATTCCGATACTGGCTGAGGCAACAAGGGGAGTGCCTTGAAACTGAGGAGATACGACAAAGCGGTTCTTTTAGCGGTAAACGCGCAAACTTGTGTCTTATGAGGATTAAACTGGACTAGATTTAGTCGACCCCAATCCGAGACTTTGTGCAGCAAAGACTCGACTTCAGACACAAGTTTGTTCCGGTATTCGGCGACGTTTTCCCGAGAAATATTGGCACGGCCGGTGTATAGAGCATCACCAGTACTGTCATCCGCATAGCAATGAATGTTACCAGTTAGCAACATATCATTGTTATGCAGAAGAAAAAGCGTTGGTGATAGCACACAGCCTTGTGGAGCACCAGCGTTAATAGGCTTGTAGTCGGAGCATGCACCGTCTACAACGACCTTGATGCTCCGATCTGCAAGAAAGCTGGTAGTCCAACTGCACAATTTCTCGGAAAGCCCATAGGAAGGGAGCTTCGAAAGAAGCGCTTTGTGCCAAACCCGATCGAAGGCCTTCGCAATGTCCAAACTAAAGGCCAATGCCTTCCCCTTGGACTCTACTGCCTCCGCCCATCTATGAATCAGGTAGACCAGAAAATCACCAGCTGATCGACCCCGACGAAAATCGTATTGGCGGTCACTAATTAGCTGGTGATCCTCTAGGTACCGCATGAGCTGGCAGTTTATAATGGATTCCATTATTTTGGAGAACAAGGAGGTGATGGCGATAGGCCTGTAGTTGGACGGGTCTAAGCGGTCGCCTTTTTTAGGGATCGGGTGGACAAACCTGTCTTCCATGATTTCGGGCCTACGCCTAGGGAGTAGGAATACCGGAAAAGACGCGTTAGAACTACGGAGCACACGTCCTCAGCACAATTCCGTCAGGCCCACTCGACTTGTGGATGTCTAGGGAGAGGAGTGCTTTGCGGACCGATCGCTGTGAGAACCGCACATCCGGCATGGAGCACTCACACCGCGGGGTGGTCGGCGGTGTGTTCCCCCCGTCATCAAGAGTCGAGTTGGACGCAAAAAGGGAGCCTAAAAGGTCGGCTTTCTCTTTTGCGGCGTGGGCCAGTGAGTCGTCCTCCCTGTGCACAAACGGTAGTGATGGCTTACAGAAATTCCTTTGGACATCCTTGGCGAGAGACCAGAATGCACGGGTTCCGAAGGAAGGCGAACTAGTTTCTCTTCAATTCTGCCTATGTGCTCTGACTTTGCCTTGGCAATAACTCTTTTGAAGGACCTGGAGTCGAAGTTATACTTCTTTTGTAGTCTGACTTTGCCTTAGCAATAACTCTTTTGAAGGATCTGGAGGCGAAGTTATACTTATTTTTAAGCATGCTGGTGTTTACATCCCGAGTCGCCGAAGCCGCTGCCCAGTGTTGATAACACTTCTGCTTACTGCGTAATGCAGTCTTACAGGAGTGACCAAACCAAGGTTGAGATCTGCTTCCGATGGGTACTACAGATGATGGAATAAATAGTTCTATTCTTTGTAGCACGACATCAGTGACAGATGCAACAGCGCTGGGATCATCCAGCGAGAAGCAAACCCATGGGTAATGTGCAAAAAATGGGTCCATGGGTAAAATGCAAAGAAAGACCGCATTCCGTCCGAATCCGCCGACCTGTAATGCCAAACACGGCGGCAACCTGCAAAACACAACCGCGAGAGGAGCGTGAGTGGCACCACACTCCAGATCAAACAATGGTCCGAAGAGCCAAGAGGGGAGCCTGATATCCGTCCGGATGAGAGGTCAGCAGAAGGTCCAACAGGGAAGGTCCTCTACATCTGGAATCCGCGTAGGCGAAGTAACCAGTTGTGTCAGACCATGTGCCATGGCAAAGTCATAAACAGATCTCCCCGCATGATCGGCTAAACGTGAACCGAGCCATTTGGCGCGGTAGGCGTTAAAATCGCCAAGGATCACTATCTCTGCGGATGGGACCTGTTGTAGCAAGGAATCTGTAAATAAAACGCCTTAATCTTTTAATTTAATTTTATTCAATATGCAGTATATTTTTGTGTTAAATTAAAAAAAAATATTACCATTGGAAGTTCTTGATCATCATCATTATTACAGTACATCACAAGTCCACTGCTAAACATAGACCTCCCCAAGAACTGCAACAAAGCACGGTACTGAGCCACCTGTATCCATCGACTTTCTTCATCTCTTCTTGCCAGGTGAGGTGCCACTCCATCTAGTGGGAAGCCACCCACAATATGATGTATAAAGCCAAAGATGTGTAAAGCAATCTGCCTAAAGCTGACCAGCCGAGTTGGATCCGTCGACCGTCCTCTCGTTCGAAGTTGGACTTACCTAGTCGGAAAATTTACCCTTGTTAAACATATTCGTTAACAACATCGAGCGTTATGCTCCTAACAAACGGCACAGGTGTGACATGGACGTTAAACATGACCTTTGCCTTATCCGGGTTTTTCTTAAGACCTATCCTATATAAGTACGGAGAAACTATTGAGTTTACTGAGCATAGTCCTAAGGTCCTTCAGCAATTCTGCCATAGTGACTATGTCGTCAGCAATTCGAAGGTGTTTATATCGTCATTGATTTTAATACCGTATCTAGTCCAGTAGCTTGAAAACGTCTTCCGATGCAGCGGCGAAGTTTCTTGGATATGACGTCACGGTAACTTACACCACTCTGCAAATGGAAAGGTTTCGTACTCTGATTCTATACTCACTACTATACACTCACTTCAGAACTTCGATATACCGACAGTCGACTTGGCAAAGCTAGACTCAGTATCGTAATTTCAACGGAAAAGTCCACATACGCAAGACTAAGTCTTCTGTTTAATTTGCCGAAATATATGTATATGGTCTATGGTACTAAAGCCTTTTCGGAAAAAGGCTTGTTAGCAACCGGAGGCTGAAAGTCATCAAATCTGCGTGCGGGATGACTAATAATGATTCTCGAAAACGCACGTGGACGTAGACGCGGCGCAGTAGGGAAATCGGGTTGTCCTTCAATAAAGCGGTTTCGCCTTTCTTGAACCACCGCACTTCCGTACTACGCCTCCGGAGTGGTGCCACCATGGAGGACCGAATGGAAGAGTTTCTGAAGAACTGTTAGTGCCAATTTACCACCCGCTTTCTGAAAGGCCGTTGTAATTTCTCTCATTGGGCCTTGCCGTTTTTAAGGTGCTGGAGTGACATTCCAATTCCGCTGAGACTGACGTCCGAGATTTATAAATAAAACTAAATTTTGTTTAACAGTGATGAAGGAGATACTTCAAACAGCAGTTCTGAAGCGGATGTAATTAGGGAAAGCGGGGTGATAATTCAAAAAGCTCCACCTCCTTCACCATTATTACCTGATCAGAGTAAAAATATAATTAACGTAAGTATTTTCTGTTCGAAGTGTACCTACTGGCGGCATCAGAGAATCCACTAGCCCTTATCTTACTGTAGATGTCGTAAAAGGCGAAAGAGAGAAAGAAACAGGAGATGGGCAACAGCATCTTCCTGATGACAACTCAAAATGTTAAAAAAACTGCGGTTGCCAGCATGCACACCAAGCGTTGTGACTTTGGCAAATATATATAGTATAAAGTAATATATATATATATATATATATATATATATGTAGGTCTATATGTAGATCGTAGCTCATAAGCTATAATGAATGTATGAATAAGTATCGCGTCTCAAATTCATAGCAGTAACGTGTACGAATTAAGAGAATAAAGACCTAGAAGTTAGAATCATAATTAACATATTTTTATTTAAAGTAGCATCATGAAAAGTTACTGTTTCAGAAACCGAATAAACAAAGGATGAAATTAGAAAAATTAAAAACGGATAAAAGAAGGACAAAACGAGAAACCATGCAGGTAAATTGAAACTAAGCCCAGAAACATTATCTTGACTAATGTGTTAATACCCCGTTTTAACCCGTATTAATAACAGCATAGAAATACTTTAGATATTAATAATAATTTAAAAAATCTACTTTATTATTTTCAGGTGTCACGGGCAACAGTAGATCTTACATCAGATGCATTATCTGATGCTTCATCAGATGAATCTTATGGAGAGAATTTGAGCCCCATGAGACGGGTTCACAAATTACTACTTTCTACAGCAAAAGTAAATCCGAAAAGAAAAAAGAAAATGCCACCGGAGCTTAAAATCTTTCCAATGCCGGTATATTAAACTTTAATTTGCTACTTGTTTTATTAAATATTAACTTATAGTTACGTAAAACAACTTGATTTCAACAGACAAGTGATTCGCCACACAATTCGGATCGAGAAAAAAAGTCATCGAAATGTGGACGACCACGCAGTGTATCAATGTTTAACGACCCTATTGGAAAACACAGACTAAGTCCAGCTTCTTGGCATCAGTTCAGACACTTACCACCACCAAAGTATGTAAAGCGTAATCTAAATAGAAATTTGTCATTATACCTACAGTACGCATGCGAGTTCATTAGTATCGGGGCCTGAGACGAAACGCTCCGCTTGTTTTTTATTTATTTATCATTGCATTGTTAGAATAGAATTTATATTTATTTTCTCATCACAAACAGGTACAGAATTATTTGTGACAAATATGTTGAACTATAAACTATAAACGTGTTGAACACTAGTTTGTGAGACTGGTGCCTAATAAAGGTATTAGACAATACCTGTTCTATAGGTCACCAGGTCCCAAATCACGGATTGTAAATCTTTAAACCACACGTTTGTATAGAATATTGAAGAGATCATTACTTTCATTGAATTGGTTGTGAGGAAATCGACATTTAGTAAAATGAAGGATTAATATAACAAAGCTAGTTTATATAATGATGTAGATACATATTTTACATTAAAGTGCATATATATATATATATATATATATATATATATATATATATATATATATATATATATATATATATATATGCTATGTTGTAGATGTAATTACTAAGATAGATGTAGTGTATCTTGGCTAAGCTGTATTTAACTGTCGTAGAACAACAGACTTCATCCTTTCTCCTTTTAGTAATGCTGGGATTGGGATCGTAATTCAGTTGTGAATGCTTTCTGGTTATTATTTTTCATTTAAATAATTAAGATTTGCCTAACAGTGAGGACATCACATAACCTGAACAGCTCCGTCGTGGCATGTCTATAAGGGAGATAGATGCAGTTTCAAGGGTTGCTCTTTGAGCTTTCTCAGCTTCAACCAGGTGAGTGTTAGCTGCACCCCACACTATGATGCAATAGCTGATTATAGATTGACTTAGAGGATAATAAATAGATTTGATAATAGAACTATCAGATAATATGTGTCCAAGGGGTTTTTAAAAATATAAATTAGTTTTCTCAGCCTAGATACCAGGGAATCAATGTAGGATTTGAAGGTGAGAGTAGAATCAACAATGACTCCATTGTAGTATTTAATGGATTCAATTACTATGTCTGCAACCAAAAAATGCACATAAGCTGTTATTTATTTAAATTTAAATGTCACTTTACGCCACGTATCTTCGCAAAGGGAAAACATGACGATTATACCTCAAGGTCTACATAGACAAAAAATGAGATTTTTTTCACCAGCACTTGTTTAATCGTCCCCATTAATTGTTAATCGGACATTCATTGGACATACACGCATCACTTTTTATCAAAGCCCTGTAATCATGAACTCACGCGCGTATTGTATACAAACAGAAAATTTCACAATACAAAACTGGATTATAATTTAGAAACTATTTTCGTACAAGATGTCTTTCAGAAATTAAAAACAGGAATATGCAGCCATCAGAACTACAAGTAAAACTTAACTCACTAAAGAAAAATGTATGGACGGGTGTACAGTGTGAAGATAAAGGACCGTTATCATGGGGTGTTTCGAGTTTTGCCATGAATTCATATTTTACTGACAGCGATTCTTTGCTCAGGTAAATTTAATAGATAAAACTTTCTTAAATTGGGTGTTTTACATGTGCCATATAAGAGATAGCCGTCATAGTATATTGAACCATGAATCTTTCAAGGATTTCGCACGAAATTGCCTGTAATCCTATCCGCGAAACGAAATAGAATAATGTTTACTCTTACGCTGCGACCGCACTGCGAGACATAAATATTAATATATCACAACATATTGCCAGAGTCCCTACCATCCTGGAAACGGTCCATTATGAGTGAGATAAGATCATGTCGAACTAGCTGATTTTTAACTACAGCGAAAACTTTCAAATAGGAAGCTTTTAACTGCCGAGAAAATATTGTGTTACTATACAGGTGTACGCGCAAACACAAAGGTACTCCTCCTAAATCTTAACAAACAAGTCATCATCATCATCAATACAGCCTAACCAAATTCCACAGCTGAACATAGTTCTCCGCTATGGTTTATTTTGTAGGAGGGTTATTGGCCATACTTACCATGTTTGGAAGGCAGGTTGGCAATCAATAAAAATTATTTATAATGTTAATTCACTTCTCCACCTCAACAGTTCTATTTCGTATTTAGTCTTAACGGACTAAAGAAAAATATTTTAAAACCATTTCTTTTTTATTTAAAATAGGTCTTGTTCAAAAAAATTGGAAATACTGGAGAGTGAATATAATAAACCTAAAGAAGAAAAGAAAAAGAAAAAATCAAAAACAAAAAAGATCTCTATGAAAGTGCCAAACTCCGATAATGTTCTAGAAAGTAAACCGCCTAAAATTGATAAGAAAAAAGGAAAGTAAGTACATTGATACGCATTATAAAGTTGATTGTGTTGTAAATAATTTAAAAACAAATTTTTATTTTTTCAGGTTAAAACATGCCAAATCGGAGATTTTGAGTAATATGAATAGTACCAGCTTTACAGATATACCACGCAATACGCAGCAACAAACGCAAAGAATAGGAGATGCCAAGCCTATAAAGACATTTAGAAAAAGCGCCTTCGTAGCAACTGCCATACAAAATCAGAAAAACAGTAAAACAAATTGCTCTCCTAACAGCGATAACTCCGATTCTGATGAATTCATTCTAGTAAGAAAGAAAATTAAGAAAAGAACAAAAAACAATAGAAATAAGTTACAAAAAGCAGCAACAGAACTGAAATTGAAAAATTAAACTAGAAATAAATCTTTTTTTTATTTTTGTATTACTTTTATTTTGATAAAACAATAGGAGTCGCAAACCGAGGTCCTTGGAAAACCCGGGAAGTCAAAGAAAAACCAGTAATTAAAATAATTATAATTAAAAATTTTGTACAACCGACTTCAATATAAATTATTAAGAATAACTCAAAAACTATTAGTCAGACCTTGATCAAATTTATTTGTGACCACATGAGAAGCAATAGGCTATATTTTATCTGAGATACTAGCAGATTTTTTGCAAAATAAAAAAATTATGAGTGGTCTTTGATGATTAACTTAAATCTAAAGATGCCAAATTATAGATCCAGGTGAAGCCGGGACTGGTCATTAGTTGATAATAAATTTAGAGTTCGTTGGTAATAAATGCTTAAAACTTTATTACCTTATTACATTAACTCTCGCTCACGCCTGTTACCTAGATAAGTAGGCAAAGACTATGGACTTCTATTTGGCACGAACCTGACACACCTATCCTCATTCTTTTACATCCATATTTCTATGCATACATTGGCGATATTTTGGCTCTTCTTCAATATATCGCCAATGTGGTTGATAAACATTTGTCTAGGGCTAGAGCATCCCTTGCCGACTCAACCACTAAATTTTGCAGGCAAAATTTGTTTAGCTTTTCTGCTGTTTGGCTGTTCAATCTGTTTATGGACATTTGTTAGGAAACTTTGAAAGTCATAATGTGGGTTAATAATGAGTTAATCATGAGATGCATATACTAGCTGCGCCCGCGACTTGGTTCACATATAATTACTGCTTTTGCTTTTGTTGTAATAAGGAATGATGATTTATTTGTACTTTTTATAGCGAACACCCTATTCAGGATAAAAACATTCAATTAGTCAATCATACAAACCAACGAAAGAACCAACAGATTAGTCCAAAAACGAACTAACGGACGGACCCATAAACGAACCATGAAATGAATTGAGCAAACTATATGCATGAGTGTCATTTGATGCTTATTACTCCGCAGATGCTGAAAAACCTAGACTACCAACAGGATTATCTTTTACGTCAACAGTTGTGTAAAATTCACCATTCCGACATAACTACTATAAATATGTGGCTGAAATTTATTGAGACTGCTAACAGTTCTCAAAATCCACTAAACAAAACGTGTTGGGATTGAGACATAGCGGTGTAGTATGCTGCAGCACTAAAGTAATTGTCACCATTCAAGGTCTAGGTCAGGAGTAACAGAAATCTGTGGGCGTTGGTGATAAAAGAAAAATCGACCCATTTTACAATAACGTAATCCACAATTTTCCCCAGAATTAACTCCCAAATTTCAGAACCTATTCGATTACCACCACCTCAATCGTCCCATACCTAACTCCCTCAGCAATCACCCATACACCATTCCTTACAAATCTTTGAACAAACTACAACGCCCTCCACAAAATCAATGACTTCCCCAATAGATGTAATTGATAATCCGGTAATAATGTATGCAGAGGGTCCGGCTGGTGAAATTTTGCAGGAAATGTTGATTTTTAGAAAAGATATATCTTTTAAACTTACCTTTATTTTTTCTTTTAAAACTTTGTAAATTGCCCAACCAGTTTCAGGAATGATTTCCGATAGAAGTTCATGTGATATTATAGAGCTGCATCTCAGATCTCTATAACATGTTCCAGAGGCTAAGTATCTGAGGGTGACTAATAGTCTTTCTTCGGCAGAAACAGCCGGCCTCACATGCATATTTATTTAGTTATTAATGGCCTCACCATTTGAAATAACTCATAAAATGTTTCCTTTTCCATTCTGAGGAAGTTGTACAGGTCATCAAAATCAAGTAGATTCGTTAAATTTAGATGACTGAGTTTTATTCTTTCCTTAAGCCAAAGCCTCATTCTTTTCTTTTTTCTACTCACTTGTACACACAAGTGCTAATGCCAATCTAACTTTTTGAAGTTTAGTTAGGTAAGGAACCATATCACAATATATGCTTCCAAACAAAGAGTCAACATCACACTGAGGTGGCAGCCTTGTTGTAAATCAGTGTGGACACAAACACCAACCGTGGGCTCCACAAGCCTCCCACCAAGGTGACCCCTGTTGGAAGCTTGTTTACAACAGCATGACTCGGCTTTGAGGGGCAAATTTCATTTCATAAGTAAATAAAGTGCACACTATACACCACACATCCCTTTATTTTCATATATAATTATCTTCTATATACCTATAATTTTTCAATTTCAATATAAGAATGTACTGGTTTCCAAGAATATCTTTTTTATACAAATTCCATGTATCCAAAAAAATAACAATATTTTTATTTTTATTGGGTAATAAATATAAATATTTCATTCATACTTGCTAAGTTATCGTTTCAATAGTCCAAACAAGTTCAAAAATTAATTTTAAAAGTTCAACAAAAATATAAAAAGCTCCATGTACTTACAATTTTTAATGATTTATAGTAGATACCGGTAACTACAGCTCAATTAAAGGTTTCACTCATTATGTAATTAGTTATTAGTTAGTAAATAAGTTTTATATTCTTCGGAATAATTTCTAAGTTTTGCACTATTGACAATATGATTTTGACAATTACAACCATAGATTGTTGTTGTTATTGTTGTTATTATGATTAGCCAATAACCTTGGCAAAGGTTAGTCTATACAGCCTAATTTGTTGTGTATTTTGTTCATAAAACTTTTCATAATTTGCAGATGTGTCACATTGCGAAGTGCTTGATAGATTTTGTGGACAGCTTAAGCTAGCAGTAGCCTGATGACGATAATATCTCTAGGCTCTTTATGGGATAACAAACTGACATTTTTAATATCACCATCGAAGCATTTGTTACACAAGTTATTACACATTTGATACACAAAATTGCACACAAATTTGATATATATATTTAAATATCAGAATATGCTTCAAACTTAACATTAAAACCGGAAACCGGCGGTCAGGTTCCCGCCCTTACAGTAATTACATACATACTTATTTTATTTTATTTATTTTATTTTATTCTTTTTGGAAAACTTACAGCTAACATTAACAATAAATAAATGAGTAACAACTACAAGGCCATTTAAAAGTTTTCACCTATAAGCAATATGAACTTAAAAACAATAATTCTAGTCGGTAAAAGATAAACATCGATTAAGACAAATACAGTAAATTAACAAAATTAAACAGAAGATTACTCAACAAAAGAATTATTGCGCTAAAATATTGTTTAATTGAGAAACACTGGTATTAAACAGATCGAAGTCAACGCTATTGGAAATGTCATTAAAAGTTCTGCATGCACGTATCATAAAAGAATTTTGCCTGTATTCGTTCCGGGTATACGGCACGTGGAGTAAGCGAGGCTTTCTTAAGATGGTACCTCTTGTTGTAAATCCTAACTTACTCAGTAGCTCCGGACGGTCAACATTACCATTTGGAAAGATAAATCATATCTGCTATGCGCCTACGTTCGTGCAGAGGCAAAATATGAAATTTTTAACATCGCGAAATGTAGTTATCAGTGTAAAATTGCGTTTTAAATTGCAGAAAATGTAGAAAACGCTCCTGTACTTCCTCAATCCTACCTATATAAATGTTATAATTTGGGTTCCACACTTGAGAGGCGAAGTCTAAATGGCTGCGAACAAGAGCGCAATAAAGTATCTTATATGTTTTAATATTATGAAAATCGTTGGAAAATCTCAAAACGAATCCAAGTGCTCTATTGGCTTTTTAATCATATTCTCAATATGTGCATCAAAGAGTAATTTAGAATCGAAAAATACACCAAGATCCTTTACTGATTGTAATCTCTCTATACTAGTGTCTTGTAATTTGTAGTGAAAAATAATGGGATTGGGTTTTCGGGAAAAGTAAGGATAAAACACATGGACACATTCAAGTCAAGTTTGTTGCATGAACAATATCGTTCAAGTTCATTGAGATCACGCTGCAGACCAAAGCAGTCAGAAGTATTTGTGATGGGACATAAAATTTTCATGTCATCAGCGTAAAGGATTATTTTGGAGTAAGTAAAGCAGGAACCTATATCACTTATAAAAATTGCAATACAGCAATGGACCTAATAGTGATACAGCAAGTAATACAGCGCCAATTTGTTCAAAATGTAGCATTCGTTAAAGAAATAAGATGCGTAATGTGTAGCATAAATATTAACGAAGAAATATTGATTACTTATACAACAATAAAATACCACAAGAAGTAATATAATATTTTTCAAGCTAAACGCTATTTTAACTAATATAACAAATGGTGTAGGGTATAATTAAAAAATGCACCGAGCAGCTATTAAGCCAAGCGACAACATAACAACAACGTGTACCGTCAGTGATAAAATAAATAAATATAATAACCTTAACGTACCAGTGTTTCTCAAACTTGTATCACAAATTCATATAGAAATAAACAAATTTATATTCTGAGTATCTTCTTTAAATCTGCCTCCGTTTTTATTACATATATAGGAGATGTCGCATTCTTTTTCATTAAAATTATGCAGTTTTTTACCCAGGTATAAGAAAATTTTTTCTCCATAGCAAGAGCTTTTGCCTTATTAAGTAGCTGTTTATTATGCATAGAGTGAACCTACAATTCTACATAAATTGAGTCATTACACTTGTCCTCGCTTTTTCTAATTAAGTTTTCAAACAAGGTAAAAAGAGACAAATCTATTGAAAGAGGTTGCGTGTAATTCATGCGGGGAAATAGAAATGTGAAGTGGTCATCTTTGGCCTCTTTATACTATGCCAAATATGAGAGTATTTATTAGTACACTCGTATTTCCGATTTACTAGAAAAATGATATCACTATTGTAGTAGTGCTGTATGTGACGTTACTATACAAGACATGACGTATTTAATCTATTGTGATTTCGTTTACAATGATTGTAATCATCAATTATTAACTTTATTATAATATGTCAAAAAATATCAAGAAAATAGGACAAGACTAATTATTATTCGAACTATCAAGT